TTCTTCTTGCAAATCTTTGTAGGACTTTCTATTAGTCCATACTGGTTGCTTTAGTGACCACGTATGGTTTTTGTGTTCCATCAGGAGTAACTCTTTTCCATGCAATACTATTTGACGAAATTGACGAATCTCTGTTAACTTTATATTTAATTCTACAAATCTCCACCCATCGTACTGATAAGTCGATATTGTGTCTTTGTAGAAAGCTAACAGCACGATTGCTTTGTTGAAGATTATTGGCACTGCGAATTTTACAGGAGAGATACGTTGGAAGGGAATGAAACGGTCGTGAGTTTCTTTGTATATAACTATAGATGACTCCATGGAAAGACACAGAAAATGTTCTATGAAATGGCCTCCTATTAATTGAAACGATGAGACATCTTGACTCGATGGTAATCTCTGAGTCACCTCAAACTCTTTAGACCTCAGAGAATGCTTAAGAATTAAGGTGGTGGGTCCAGTTACTGCGAGGTACATGAATCCTTTGCTGCAGAAAGGGATCAATTTACTGGTACCATGATTTATCACTTGTGCTAGATCAAAGTAATCGTTGAACCAAATGAAAATTGAAATGTTGGAGTGCGATGCAATGGCTAAGAACAGTTGGTTGATTCCTTGCCAAGTCGTCAGATGAGTTACATCGTTGTATTCGATATCTTGCGTGAGATACATATAATATTTCTCTTCGACTTCCATGAATCGCAGAATGAGGATCGAATCGTCTTGACTTTGAGCTATTAAGAAAGCTTCGTATGCATAGGTATGGGCGATTATTTGCCTGGCATTGGGCAAAGCATAAGCCGCAACATGTTGGAAGGTGTGATTCTGAAATCAATTTTGCTTTTATAAGAAGGAAATATTATAAGCTTGCGTTGTTTAAACACTATGATTATTACTGGAACATACGTTTATCTGGTACACAGATATCTTGGATTTGTCCAAAATCACAGTGAACCAATTCAGCTGGAGCTTGTTTTGAAGAGAAAAGAAAAGTATATCTTGGACATCGGTGAAATTTAATTGTTCAAAATTTTGGAATCCATTCAGTACATCAATACCTGAAAAATATCACAGATTACTTTATGAGCAATGTATAAAATAAACAAAATTTGAGACTGTATGAAGATATTTAAATTTACTACCATACGTTAAAAGCACATGGACATTGTATGTGATATATAAACTTTATATAAATTTATTTTGTATTATTGAAATTAACAAGCTGGGGCAACATAACCTCAAAATTGTTTTTACCAGTTTTTACATTGTTCTTGACCATATATGTGACCATACAACTGGCCAAAACAATAAAAATTACTGCAATATGCATGTAGAATCACGTAGGACAGCTAAAATTTGCTTGCATTTACATTTTGAATTTAATGTAAAATTCTGTAGATGAAATTAATGTTAGAATAACATTTTGAAAACAGCTACTTTAAAGTGGTAAAATAGTAGCATTTCTTGGTATCATATAAATAAATAATTAAATTGCAGTCTACAGGTATATAATTGGCTTACGATATGTTCACGAATGAGGAAATAAGACAAAATTTAAGTAAGCAGGTTTGCGAGTTGGAAGTACTAGAGTCTGTTTATCCTAAAGAATTAACTATCGCTGACCATGGAACACTAGCCGATATCAATGATTTTATTCAGAATCCTAAGCAAGATCTTCCTCAGAGATTGGAGTATTCCATTGAGCTTCCAATTAATGGAGTAAGATTGAGAAACATTACTTTTGCAGGATGGAGCTGTATGTTTCTTTGTCACTTAATATAATGTCTATAAAAATGAAGCATTTTGTACCCTTTACAGGGAACGATTGAACTGCTGGTTAGCTTGTCAGCTAGCTATCCTAAAGAGAAGCCAGAGGTTTATGCGAGAAGTTCATTGTTGCATCGAACTCAGCAGCTGTGTTTGAACCAAACTCTGGGTGATGTTCTCGAACGCCAAGAGGACAACGAGCCATGTATCTACGCGTTAATATCGTGGCTGCAGGATCATGCCGACGATTACGTTGCTGTATCGGATGGAAATCAGGGAAAGGATGATAAGAGCGAAGACAGAGGCCACAAGCAGACCGGACCTGTGACTTTTGCTAGATATTGGATATATAGTCATCATATTTATAGCAAATTTAAAAGAAAAGACATAGCCAGTTTGGCGAAAGAAAATTCTATCACTGGCTTCTGCTTGGCAGGGAAACCAGGTGTCATTTGCTTGGAAGGAATTTTGGAGGACTGTGACTACTGCTGGCAGAAAGTATTAGCCTTCGCTACGCTTGTTTAAGTTTCAATTTCAGGAAATTGAATTTTAATTGATTTTTAGATCAAATCTATGAATTGGCACAGAATACTAATAAGATTATTAGAGAAGGAAGAAAATTGTAAGGATGATGTGCAGAAATTTCAAGACTTTCAAGAAATATCTTTTGCTACTTCTGAACGCCACAATGATATGGGCCAACTGTTGAAATATTTAACGGAGCATAAGTCACAGCATGTTTTCAAGGAACTGTTTGGTATCGACGGCAAAACCAGCGAACTCCCAGAGTAATAATACGCAATGAAATTATTACAATCATTATGTAAATAATGTTATTAAAAATTTACAATCATTTTGACACTATCCGTAATGAGTACGTACCTTTGTTGGGAATCTCTGGTGTTTCTCTTTTGTAACGAGCAGAATATTTTTTTAATACATTCCTCATGTGATTCGTGACTTCTCCGTGGATTTTAGACAATGCATCTTCGTTCGAATTTGCAAGAGCTAAAAATAATATTTCGAGCTATAATCTATAATAATACCTATATATTGTATAATATAGATCCATATGATCTTACATATCTCATTATATCTTAGATTTTATATATAATCTATATATCTATAAATAAATTTTATTTAATTTTAATCAAAAATTTTGTACCATAGTCAGCTCTTAAATTCTCAAAAAGATTGGTCGTTTCTTCAAGCGCAGTACTCAGAGCATAATTCCTTTGCAAATGTACCTGACAATTAATTGAATTAATAAATACAAAAATTAGCGAGAGATTTATCAACATTTTCGCACGAAGACAGATCGCCACTGGGATTATCAATTCATAAGAACGTCTCGTGGATGAAAGGAAAGACGTACTCTGTAAACTCTGTATTTATATTTTTTTTCTTCTTGTCTTCAGATCCTCCAAATTCGAATATACTGCGTATGTACACAAACACAACTGGAAAAATTTATATTTAAACTTATAATTAGCTTTCGATGTGTACTTTATTTACCCTTGGGTAGTAATAATACTATTGAACAAAATTTGTAAGCGACGAAGAATTAAATCACAACTGAGACACTTTATTGCTTAATTTGGATTAGATACAGTTTTTAGTAGAGTGTATAAAAGAAAAATATTTTCTTTCTCATCGCAGTGTAATGCACAAAATGGAATTATGGGCTCTTTATACACAATTTTTATTTGATAACAATGAAATAATATCATACAGCATAATGTACGTGTATTATTAAATTTTATCTAACTGTAGCGTAGCGTAGGAATTCATTGGTAAGAAACTGGCCTGGGATGTAAGGAGCTGGGGGTCCGAGAACATCCTGCGTCGGACTGTGAACTTTAATCTGCCTCATATGCGTGTCTCGTCCGTTCTGATGATTGGTTATCACAGCTATTTGTATCATGAACGTCCTGATGGGCCTGTCGTTTATGTCCTTTATTGGAATCACGACCCAGCCGCTTGGCTCGTTCAGGTCCATAACTTCTACCTCCTGGAGATCGTTGAAATTTGTACCTGCTCTTATACTTATCCTAGAAACACACACATTAGGGTGAAGCTTATCGTACTTAAAATATTCAGTTGGATACGTCTTAGAGAAGCATGTAAGCAACATTACCTATGGCATAATCACAAATTAAATAGTAGAGAGATAAATAAAAGAGGTTCATTGTGGATTAAAAAATGTAGATTTCGTACCTGCTGGGAGTATAGCTTTCATCCAGCTTGTAATCCGCATAAATACATATATCGCGTATAGTTGTTTTCCTCTTAAACTGTATGTTTACTAAGTGTGGTTGTTGTCCGTCAGATTGCCAATACGTTTCTGTAACATCGTCGCGTAATTGATCCACGCCGAAGCCAGGTTTGCAGCTAGACAAACTCCAAATTGCTTGGTTTCCTATTTCCCGTACACGACCAGCTAATTCCTCCTGAACGGGATCCACTTCTCCTATAATAATAAAGTAACAGAATTAACGAAGTGCTTATCAGGGAATCGTTTCATCTTCTATAGTAAACATTAAGCATAAAAAAAGAAGGGTCATAGAAAAAGGTTTACCTCCATTACCACCAGTCTTGTTGCTCATAATTAATTGTTAGTAGTATACATTTGAGTTCTACAGTGGCATCTTTAGATGGTTTATTTTGATGTGTAATAATAATGACAGCGACTCAGATGATCTGAAAGTTTTTAATGCTTTACTGTTCAAATTTGTTAAAATTTGACAAAAAGAGGTTATTCTCGAGATAGAGTAATTTTTACACGAAATAGAAAAGGACATACCACTCTAGTCACGGATTTTTTATGTTTTGGGATGAGATCTGTCAAAAATATTGAGGTTATCTCTACGCAGTCAACGAATGTACGAAGATACTGGGACTTTTGATCGCTTTTAATTCCTTCTAATATTCCACAAGAAATACACAATTGTTTAACCAGTATCAATACTCGTGAAAGGTTACGAATAATGGAATTTTTTACAAGGATAGACAATTTTGCATTATTTTTAGTCAATGTTTACAGAAAGGCCTTAGTAACCTGGTGTGCGAATGGTTCTGCGCAGGCGCGGTAAACGAGTGATGCGCATGCGCAGTATTTGGGGGCCAGTGAAGTATCTATACGTTCGCGAAACTGGCGGCCTTGGCGCCCCCTACAAAATAGAGTTATGAAAGGAAAAAAATTCAAATTCAAATATTTCAAATGTGGACTTGAAAATATAGTTCATATAAAAATTAGGTTTACAGAAATCCACGAATTCATATAATTTAACGTACAATTAACAATTAAGTATTCTTTTAAAATTGTACCAAAAAAAAAGAAAAATTTAAAAATTAAGTCCTGGAAAGAAGGATAATTTAAGAGTGGACAATTAACAATTAATAAATTCTCTAAAATTGTAACAAAGAAAAAGAGAAAAATCCTATTTAAACAAATTCCAGGAAAGAATGATACTCATTAATTATTTCTCCAAAATAGTCCCCAAAGAATAAACTAAAAATTAAAAAAATGAAGTAGGGAAGGATTCCATGGAAAATGATTATTTCTCGTAAAAACCGCGTGGAAGCCATTTTACAGGTTGCTCCGTCGTTTTCTCCTGATTTCGGATTCGTTCCATTTTTTTCTCGCATTTCTAGTCATTTACACGCTCTGTTTGTGTTTGTGGTGGTCCATCCGCGATAGATCTCGACAGCACGGGACAGCAAAGTTCTCCTACCATATTTTCAACGAAAAGAGGTCTCAACAAATTGTCCAAGAACCATGTCACACCAAACAGGAATAAAAGGTGTCTATGAATAATAACAAATCCGATAAGTACCCTAGTTAAGCTTTGGCATATATTCTTCGGATTCTAACCTCACTTTTGCAACCTCTAATAAAGATTTCTTTATTACAGCGAATGAGGCGCTCAAAAAATTGTTTGCCAAGTGTCGCGATGGGAAAATTCGAGTGTTGAAAGTCTCTATAGAAAATGGTGAGTTGATTCGAGTTGTGTAGTAGTAAGTCGAAACGTACAATGTGTTACGGAAGGTATTCGAATGCAGAGCGAAAGGTGCAATGCACAGGAAAAGTAAGTCGTAGCTTGCATCGTAGAGGAACTTTAATTTTGTAACAATGCGTAGATATCATGCATGGTAAAGTTGGAGTGTCCTCTGTAGTGTAAAGAACACCTAGCCAGGAAGCTAGGAATGGTTTCGCAACTATTGAGCAATTCTCTGGTTCGATTCGTATATTCAAAGACTAATCAAATTATTTAGGAACCTAGAAATGTTCTGCAAGTATAACCAAGAGTCTGTTCCCATCAAGACAGAATATCCATAACAAACTTTCTTTGTTCCACAGAGGAATTGGCCCCTTCAGCCTTCTCGAAGCCAGCAAACAAGTGGCAAGATGACTACGATAAAATGATCAAGCCCCTGATTGTGGAGAACCAGCCAGCATACATTCTCTATCGTCTCGATACTAAATCGCCTGACTCCGGCTACGATTGGTTATTCATATCCTGGTCGCCCGATACAGCCCCAGTCAGACAGAAGATGCTCTATGCTTCGACCAAAGCCACCTTGAAGCAAGAATTTGGTACGGCTTCCATAAAAGAAGAGCTGCGTGGCACTGTACCCGAAGACATAACGTTAGATGGCTACCACAAATACAAAAGAAACGATGCAGCTCCTGCTCCTTTAACTACCGCGGAAGAAGAGTTAGCGGAACTCAAAAAGAGCACAGTTACTACGGACTACAGTGTAGAGACGAGACATCAGACATTGAGCGGAGTTGCCTTCCCTGTAACAGATGAAGCCAAACAGGCAATCACAGAGCTTGGCAAAGGTGTATATGAATACGTTCAGTTGAAGATTGACTTGGAGGAGGAGAAGATACATTTAGTCATAGCTTGCGATGTATCGTTGGATAAATTACCCACAAAAGTTCCATCCGACTCAGCCAGATATCATCTGTACAATTTTAAGCACACGCACGAAGGAGATTACATGGAGTGCATAGGTATGTACAGCGGACAAACGTAACGATTAGTAGCCTTCTTCTTCCATAAACTAATGTTCCATATATGTTGCAGTGTTTATATATAGTATGCCAGGATATAGCTGTAGTATCAAGGAAAGAATGCTCTATTCGTCTTGCAAATCTCCTCTTCTGGATCTCATTCAATCGCTCGGAGTGAACATTACTAAAAAAGTGAGTAAAGTTGTTCTTGATGTAAGGTAAATGTCCCAATTGTCGACACGTTTCTTGAAATTGTAACTTCGAATATTAATTAGATCGAGTATTAATTACATTGTATTAATGCATTTATGAAAAATAAGTTAAGATTAGTTTTTCAGTTCTAACTGCAGCACTGCCATTTGTTCACTCTTTTATTGCATTGTCTTGTTGAAAACAATTATTACATTGTTCTGATTATCGATAAATCTCCTGCGGTACATAGTTTACTAATTATAGAAACTATGATGCTTGAAATTATTAACAACGATATTAAAGAAATAAATTGAGTGTCGAGATTAGGAGCAATTGCCTTATTTTTTCTCCATTTATGGAACCTACATGTACATACAAAACAATTACTGGAGTATCACGTGTACCAGTAATTATTTTAGTTATTGCATTACGTATCTTCTCCTTTGCAGTAAATTTACTCTTTACTGATTTCTATGCGATGATGTTGAAATTAAACTATACTTTTTTTTTTTGCAATAATTTGATTGAATAGTTGGAAGTAAATAGTGGTGAGGAGTTGGCAGACATGTTAGAAGATCCTCCAACTATAAAAGAACCAGCTGCTATAACTCCTGCAACTCCATCGACGCCCTATGCCCCTACTCAATCTATACCAGAGAAAAAATCAAAGCAGAAGCGTTCTTGTGTCTTGAGTTAACCAACTCCATGTATCTTTGTCTGCCATTAATTCTTAAATGTTTCTCGCACGTTTAAGCAATGCATCGCTTTAACGTGCGATGTTTTACACATTGGACATTCTTCCTTCGTAAAATTCTGAATTTGTGATAATACGATATTAACATTGAATGTGTTATTTAATGCGAAATGATATAATGGGTTTCCAATACTCATCGTATATAGTTGCACTTGTTCTTCGAAGCGATTTGAAGTGAGAAATCTAATGCGTCTTGCAAAGGATGAATTTTTATTGATTAGCGATACTTATTGATATTTAGCATTAATTGGTCAGAGTGATACGTATATCTATGTAGCAAGTCAGAGTAGACCAAAAACACTGTATTTTTCTAAATTTTAAAAGCAAAATTCTCACGTTAAGACCTCGTTCAACTGTCTTTTGACAGCTACGAGCAGTTCTCGATAAACACGATTCATAGGATACAGTTCTTGTTGATCCATGCTACGATGGATGATTTACTCGTACAAAGAGTACCATAAAAATTCAATGGAGATTTGCTTGACGTTGAAAGTGAAGCCTTCTACTGGATTTTGCATTTTTACCAACGCGTGAAAGTTTCGTGGGAAATATCTCTTCGGTCTTGTCATGGTTCCTTGTTAATACTTTTTTTTTTTAAATGTTTTACGTAACTCTTATACTCTTAACTCTTGAAAATGAAAAAAAGAGAAAAGTAAATCTAGTGAGTTGACTGTGCAAATTAGTTCCTAGTCCAATGGAAAAGTGATATGTACTATAAGTTTCCTTTTTGTATTAATAATTTTGTTAAGTAAAACTCTCGAAGGCTTGACTTTCAAATTCATTCGAACGGACGTATAGGAAGCTAGCGTAGACTTAGTGTTTCAAACAAATATCTGTGGTAAACCGCATACCTTATGTGATTGTTAGAGAGTTAGGGAAAGAATTCCATGTGCCCTAGCTAGCTGATGCCGCTCACCTAACTTCTCTGCGTAATATAAATATGAAAAATGGTATAGCAGAGTGATAGTACGTGCAAATGCCACATTTACACGTGGATATATTTTCTTTGCACACAATTATCATTTTCCAACACGAGCTAGTGATGATACTAGTTACTTTATATACATATTAAATTATATATCATGTTCTATACTATTGTAAATGGTACGAAAGCATTAGATTCCACAAATATGTGTACGAAGACTGATCTTGGTAAGTCCCATTCGCTGTACAAGTCAAAGAGTCGCAGATACTGTTCGAATAGATGAGACAATTTATATATGTTCCTTCTATATCTTCCAATTATTTATTATTTATTTATTGATCTAATTGTTAAAAGGTACGCTAAAAATTTGGGTGGTTTCTCGTACGTTTCTGATGCTTTAAAAGAGAAATGTAAGGCGTATATAGAGAATTGCAGGCGTAGAGGAAAGCGTACTTTGAAATTGTTTTTAAGAAAACATTCCCTTGCGTAAAATGTACAGCGAATGGGACTGTAATCTGATATAGCGAGCAGCACGATATTCGAGAGGCATTCTATTTTTTCTGATCTGTATTTTTTTAAACTCTTGTAGCTTTTTATAAACTTTTTAAAAATTTTCGTCCAAAGACACAAACGAACGATTCACCAAAATGGTCTGGCCTAATTTTAACGAGATGGTAAAACAAAGTGCGTCAAATTCTTGGCATATATTTAATTCAAAAAGAAACAACAGTAACGATAAACTAGTAGTAACGTGTAAGCAAAATATCGATTAACGTTTTTATTTAAAATATATGTATTTGCTTTGATGTTGGGCTCGAGATGAAGAGATTTCAAAAGAATATTAAATATAGGTACTCGTATATATTTTATTAGCTCTATATTTTTGTTTATAATCTCGTGAAAATTGTTTCACCTTATGTTCCTATTTACTGGTCCTCTATATATTTACTCGTAGAGAAAACATAGAATTTGACACACGTTTCTTTCTTGTAGCAAACTAAAGAAAGTGATAAAGAAAAAAAAAAAGTTCTTCGCAAAATGCTCAAAAAAGAAAAAAAAAATACTGTTAACAAAAATGTGTTCTGTATTTCGTAACGCACATTGCAGCCTGGACGTGTATTTTAGTTAATATTGATTCTACCAGGCCTATTCTGTAAGTTTCTAGCGTAATATTACTTTCGAACCTGTTAATACGTAACCGTAGGTTCATTACGATTGAATAAATTGTATATCTTGCCAATACTAAACACGCTACAAAATAATAAAGCATTACGCAATCTAATCTTACGCAATCTGTTGTTTTAATTTTTCAAGTTAACATCAAACGCTATTCGAATCTTCGTTTCTTTTCATCTATCATGATTTACATAGAATTTAATAGGTCTCTAAGGCAACGCAGGATGATTCTATCCTTGGATGGGTATGTAACTATAATTAAGACTTTAAAATATTTAGGAGACTTAAGATTTCGCTCAGCTTACAGAATAGGCCTTAATAGATATCTCACTTTTCTCCCCAAATTTGTGGTTTTTGTTTTTTTTTAAGTAATCGATGCTTCTTCTGGATTTTGATATAATGTAATAATTATTCTTTCAAATGTTTGGGTTGTATAGCTTGAGATAGACGATGGAAGATTACTAACTGAGGGATTTTTGCAAGAAGAGTTGCATCCAAAAGTCAGTTTACATCAGCCAAAATTCGCAAAACCTAAGGGTCCACCAGGCAGAGGCGCAAAACGTTTGACCAAGGTTCAAGATTTAGCAACTTCGGAACAAGAAATTTAAATATTTTTTAAATTTGTTGAATTAATCGAACGTGATATATATATCTACATATATACATATTGTGATTCTTTTTAATGATTGTGTCTTAAATCTTTTTTGCAATGGAATAGTATTATTCATTTTAGGATTATAACGTTTTATGCGTAGAAATTGCATCACAAAAGGATGTGATATAAAATATTGTTTTTCCGATTGATCATCAGGCCTATTCTGTAACTCTAGCTTCAATCTGCATCGCATTCTATGTATATTGTACACTTGTTCGCTTCGATGCAGTATTATCAGGATGTAAATAAGAAATATTATATTATATTTATTTGATTTATACATAATTCATTATTTTATAATCATTTCTAAAGTTCCCTTTATTAATCTCTTTATATCTAAAGTTATTTTGTATTTGACTTCGAGAATAATTGTTGTAGTTTTGTCATTCTTAAATTATTAAGACATTATGTAGACTATTTTACATGTATTAAATATATCAATTTGTTAACGACGATTAGATGCTTGCTTCAATTTCGTTTTCGAGTAGGCTATTCAAACGATCATTCTGGCTGTACCTTTTCTTAAGTTCTTCATCCTCCTTGCATATATATGGTGTAGACATATTCTTTATGGCACTGCAAAGTAACAATTAGTTAAGTAGAATAAAATTTCTTAGTTTGAAAGATAATATTATTTGCACTTACTTTCTTCTTGTGTTCATTGTGGATGCGTGTATCTCATAAACATTCTCTATCTTGGTTCCTGTTAGATATAATAACAATATCGTTATACTACCATACATGGAACCCAACACTGCGCCAGCAAAAGAACCAGCAACTGCTCCTTTAGGTCCCATATTTGCTTTAAACAAGAAACCGGTTAAAGCGCCAGCGTACAAGAAATTACTTATACTGTATTTCCCTCTGTACACATACAGGCAAGTTTCCATGCCTCTGATAGAAAACATTATGCAAATTAATGTTCGTAGCAAGTTCTAAAAGACTATGTGAATACTATGAATCTTACTGGAACATAAAACAAAAAGCTCCGAGTCTCCAAGCAAGGTTCGCACCACCTCTCATGAATTCATTGAGAAATTTCATTTGCAATTGTCTCTGTGCGTCGAACTTATTTTGAAACTTGGTTGCCTGATTCTCCGCTATAAATTTTTCCGGTATTAATCTAGCTCTCAACAATCCACCTAACAAAAATCCTCCTACAGTGGCTCCCATCGTTACGCTAATAACAGATTGCAATTCTTTAGTCATTTTGCCATCCCTGTTAAAAAAAAAGCAGAATTACAGTTAGTTGTACAGGAGAAGACTGAGACACTCTTACCAAAGTTTCAAATGGTCTTACTTCTTGTTAAACATGTTTCTTAATCTGTCTACACCGATTTCGGCCACTTTCAGAGATTCTATTTTATCGTTAGGAATGTCGTCATTGTTAGCATTCCACAAAGCAAATGGAGGAAAGCCAGTGCACAACAATCTCCTACCCATTGCTACACGAAACATTTTGTACATATTTTCTTTACTTGGTTAACAAGTTTTAGGTTATGTTGCATAAGCAGTGAACAACGAATTAACGATTCAAAGTGGTAGAATAATTCGTTCTTTTGCAGTTTATTATGGGATTCAATTATGTTGTGGCTATGAGCGCGAAATCATGAATATATTTGTAAAACTATACAGGTGTAATTAAGACATCTCTTTTTAATTGTGCGTATATTTCATTGATGTTCGTCGCGAAAAAATCTGGTCTGGCTGGCATCGCTAATGTGCGTGAATGTAGGCAAGATGGCCGCCATTTCGCGCATGCGCACTGTACCGAGTGTCAGGGATGTATCCAACAGAAACATACAAGTGGTGCCCTAGGCGCCCCAAAGAATGATAGAATTATACACGAATTGGAAATAAATTTTTGTTTTTGTTTGTTGTTTATTAAGATGAACAAAATACAGACTTTGAATCTTCTATTTACCATTCGAGTTGACGCCGTTGTTTATTAGTTTCGAGCCTCCTCGTCAAGATGGCGCCCTATATCCACGTTGCAAATGCAAATCATTCCTGTATTTATCCGTCCTAATTCCCTATAAAAATAAACAATCTTATCGCAGATACATCAGAGACATAATTAACTATAAGAAGATGAATGAAAAATGTAAATAAAAAATATTTGTTTCCGCCCGGGATCGAACCGGGGACCTTGTGCGTGTGAAGCACACGTGATAACCACTACACTACGGAAACTCGACACTGTCAATGTTTCCAAAACAACAAATCCAGTTTACTTACGATCCAATTTCATTTCGTTTAACTTCGTCCGCGAATTTCTTTCCTAGAGAACATTTTCAATTCGATATGAATCGATTGGCAGTAAATAAATACAATATTAGTTCTATGTTTCGAGGGAATGTACAAAGTACACGAATGTTGCGACGCGATGTGTCCATGTGGCTCTAAGGAGCGAGGTAACGCGATGTAAACAAACAAGATTAGGACGCTCGCGATTCCCATTGTCCCAAGGTGAATTTGACGCATTCAGAAATGGGGAAAGTGACAGGCGGTGTCCGAACCAGTGACAGCTCCGACGATGATCGGAGAAATTTCATCGAAGACGAGCGCAAAGCTAGGACGAAGAAGAAGAGACGTAAAAGGGACCTGACGGACCTGCACAGAAAGATTTCAAAGTCCAGGAAGGTACCGCGCGTGTTTATTATTATCACGAGACTTTGTTTACCGAGTTCGACCACTTGTTTACTCCATGTTTAGTCAACGTTACGCATTTATTAGGATTACAACGTTAAAATATAGTATTAATATCGAAACAATTAAAAAGATGATTGAATGAATTAGTGTGCGGTCGGTAAGGTAGAACGAAACAGGCCCCGGGGCCAGTAGCGTATCGATAAATCGAGTCACACCGCCCTTACTTTTGTTTGGTCGATTTACAAATGACAATGAATCCTTATACATGATAAATGCGGATTTTCCATTTAGAAACTTTTTATTTGCAATTTGGAATCGTTTTAGGGTTTCTCTTTTTTTTTTTACTCGTACATGATAGACATGGATTTTCCATTTAGAAATTTTTATTTGCAATTTTTAATCGTTTTAGGGGTTTTAAAGGAATCGTGACATTCGCGATGTACTTTTTCAGCGACACAGGATTTTATTTATATCGCGTTTATAGTTTTACGTAAATGGAAAAAGGGATTCGTTTGCAGACGAAGGAGACGAGAGTCGACCGGAAACAGGGGAAGGCGCGAAATTCGAAAAGGATTTGTAACAGAATTCTCCCTAAACCCGTGAGTCCGATTTATGTCGTCGTATAATTCAAATTACAAATGATAATTAATTTAATCGGGTTGATATTAGACAGAGATGATATATTTTACGATTGTTTTTGTAACAGTTGGTCGGGATCTACAAAAATGGCGCCGTGGGAAAGTCAATTCGAAAGTGTATGTATCTATATAACATACAAATATTTTTATTTTGTACTTTTATTGGAGCTTACGTATTTTAAATAACATAGATAATGGGTTCTCCAAAGGAGGCTTTAGAATTTGATAAATAAAAATAAAAAATATCAATATACCCCTCACCGTTTGTGTATTATTTACAAAGAAATTCTAAAGCGTCCTTGCTTTAATATTAAATATCAAAATGTTGATAATCGTATTCGTATAATTAATTTATGTTAATTTATATTAATTTATATTATTATTTTATATGTAATTTACAGCTGAATCGAACGCGACCTTGGGCGAATCCGGGGTGGCACGGCTACAGGGAAACGTCCTGAAGCTGCTGCATGGATATAATTCCAAATCAGAGTAAGCAAAAAGTAGAAACAATTTTACCTAATTAACAATTTCATCTAATCCCTGCTAATTCCTTTTTCAACATTCTGCAGTTATGTTATGGTCGAAAGGAACCCTGACAAAGACGCAAGGGATCCACTTTTTGATCCTATTGTTAAAAACATTCCGCTGCGTCTAACTCCTCTTGGTGACGATTGTGTAAGTCCTGTTTTGGGTAAAGTAGATGGGTAAGTCTCAGGTAATTTTCACAGAATTTCTACAAGTAAAACCATCACTGATAGTAGAAAAACTACCGAAGGAAACCTAAAGACTTTCTCAAAGTCAAAGTGGCTTCAGGACTTCATATTTTCTGTAACGAAGCACATATATGTCGAAGAAAGTGAATCTGTATTTTACGTTACACTAAATTGTAGCTTTGCATTGAGTTCAAGTTGGTAATACTGTGGGATCACTATAGCTGGTAATACTGATTGCAAGAATCCTGAAGCCTCTTCCTGTAAATCCTTTATTTCATTCTAAAGCAAATTAAAACTAGTTTGAAACTTTGCAAAAGCTACATCTATTCTGTTCAGGAAGAAACGACGCCACAAGGATGCAGTTACAGAGAATGCTGGACCATCCAAGTCCCCTGGATTCTTACAGAAGCCTTCAGAAAAGAAGGAATGCATCAACCCTGATAGCCAACGTTGCAATGCCCTCAGTTGTTACACCAAGCTTTGTAACACCATCAGTTCTGACTTCGAGAAGCAGATTTTCCCCAATCAGTCCACTGAAGGTACTTAACCTACACTTACTCTTCTAATCGATCAGTCACTATCAAACAAAAGTCTATTACAAGAGTACAGAGTCTATTCACAGACATGAAAGCTTGTTCGGAACCACCTTTACGATGGTTCTCACAATTCTGGATTTTTACAATTTCCAGAATTGTTGTCTGCGATGAAGAAAAAGTTGAGAAGTAAATACGCAGAGTCCTTCCACAACCAGCTGCAGGGTATGATGAGACGCGACATGACGTTGAAGGGAAGCGAGAATGCTCTGTCTTCTCTAGCGGAATACAATCTTCCTCCCAAGATCCATCCTCCAACAAAGGATTCAGACTTCCTTCCGTTGAATATTGGAATACCAGAATGTCAAGTGCGTTTAGCCAGAAACGATGAGAAAGACTCGAATCAAAACACGTTTCTATTACCAATGACAAGGAATTTCAACTCTGATGACAAGAGGAACAAGCCTCCCACGCCCAATTTGTTGTTTGGCTTGCCCATGCTGGACACCTTCGCTGAACCTAAGAGATTTCAGCATCAGCTAGCATCAGATTCGCTAAAAATAAGAAACAAGGAATTTGAAAGTGATGGCGAAGTAAGTGATCGCATTCATACTTCTACCGAGGTCAATCTATCAAGCAAGAGGGCGACTAATGTAAAGTATTTTGAAAATAGAGTTGAGAAAGGCAAGGGGAAGTCAGTTTTGTTCCTCCCAAGCGAGACAACGGAAGATCTCGTGAACCAAAGTCATTTGATAAAACGCAAGAATCAGCGTACGCAGACGGTAGACGTCGAGACAAAGGGACAATCGAGGAAGCAGAACCTGAAGACCTTGCAGCAGGGCAAAGCGAAGAACCTAAAGCACATCCCAGCGATCCTGCGACGATGTAACAATGGTATCGCAAACAACAATCGAGTGAATATATTCGAGAAACCTAAGTGTTTCAACAAACAACCCAGAGAACTGAGCGTTATCTTCACACCGCAATCCTTATCAGCGACCTCTAGCGAGAACTCGAAGGTGTTGGACCCACCAAGCATTGTAAGCACATTGTTTAACAATCCCGATAAGAAAAGTGTCTACTCTGAGGCATTCAGGACATCTTGCTCTCTGGACACTAAGCAACAATCACAGGACTCTACTTTCCTGCGTAAACCTAAGGCATATACACATCCTAAGACTGTAATGTTCACCAGAAAGGACTCTGACAACCCAGACCAGTACCTGCGACTGGAAAATTTCATCCCGGATCATTCATCAAAGAGGACCATCCATCGGCAGCCTGAGAAATCCATGAGGAGCACTTGTGCAGCCCACAGGAACTGTCAGAGAATACCCACAGAGCATTACCAACAGCTTCGATGCTCCCAGAACTATGACGAGTCGAGGTACGTGGACCAGAAGTTCAAGCAGATGGAGTCACCGCAAATGCAGACTGTGCAGATGCAGCGAGAGCCTGTGGTTTGCGAGAAGCTCCTGTTGAGGAGGGTACAGAGATGTGGAAATGGTCAGCAGTGTCGTGAGAAAGATCAACGTGTCTGCTATGTGATCATGGACCAACCCCAGGCTGAGAAATCTAGAGTCTTGCAAAATGGTCATTGCTGTCAGGAGGATATGCCTGACGTTGGTATCCTCAGAGGCGTGCAGAACCTCCAAATACTGCCAGTAGCACCTGCAGACCTTGCTAAAAATCAGTGCATGGGGAATACTGTGCTCGTGGAGGAGCAACCAGTCAAGTACTTGGCCATCGATAGAGATTCAAAGGTTCAGAAGATGCCAATATACAGGCAAGCAAGTGACCAGGTTGCCAGCATCGATGCAGTGGATGTAGCTAATCCTACAGTTAATTATCGGGTCGTGTCCTGCCCTCGAGACACCTCGCAGAAGGTTATACTCATACCAGCTTGCGAACAGGACAATCTAGTGTACGTGAAGGACCAAAGCCAGTTGAACGCAAACTACGACCTGTGCTCGCATCCTAGACAAGAGATTTTGTATCAACCAGGGTATCGGTGTGTCAAAGATCCTATGGATACTGTTGATTTGCAGGGGATTAGTAGGAAGTTGAGGAGGAACGTCGTTCGTGGGGAGTACCTGCAGTGTCGACCTCATGGTAAAGATATAACTATATTTTAGTGTAGCATAGCTTTGAGAGATCTGTTGATTTATTTGACGACAAATTGTGGTTAGTTTTTTAAAATTCTACTATGTTGGATAGGGAACCATTTAGTAAGCTGATAGTTATTCGAGTTGATAGACATCCAAGCTGATAGTTGTCGAAGCTAGTAGTTGATCAAACTCATAGTTATTCGAGTTGATAGATACTCAATGTTGATACTTATTTAAGCTGATAGTTTCAATTTATTTCCATTAGCATGGAACTACATATATTAAGCTACATTAAGTATAACATAATATACTCAAATGTTGATCAGGTAGAACTGATTTTGATCAGATAGAACTTGATTTTGATATAATAGAATTTGATTTTGATTAGATTGACCCTATATTTTAGTATGGAAGCCTGAACTTCATTTTTTTTTATCACAAACTAAGGAAAATGATAAGAATAAAATTGTTTCAGAGCACGCTGTTCGCACAAGGAGTAAAGCAGTCTTTTCCCAAGAGTGAAGTTATCGAAACTCTTAAAATACATAATATAGTATATATGTGTTTTCTATTATATATCAGTGGGATACGTAGAATTATTTATTACGTTTTTCTTGCGATAATTTTTGCCAAGTATTAATAGAGATTTGAATTCGAGTGTCCTCAAAGAAGACAGCTGAGGCCTAAAATAGTCGAGAGAATCGTTTCTTTGTTCTTTTAGATTTGTATATTTATAAAAAACAAAAAACCACGGGGCTTTACTGAATAAGAGAGGATCACCTTTTAAAGTTTATTTCACGCGAACTTTGTTTTGTTACTAGCAGAACAAATTAAATAAAAAAAACAAAACAAATGGAAATAATTTAATCTTTATACGTTAAGTGTAATCGAATTGAATAGCAATTTTCTGTTATATTTATGAAATATTCAAGCATTTGATATTATCGTTTACTTTGTACAACTTCCAGTATTAAAATAATTTTTCAATAATTTAAGTTTACTTCTTTAGACAGTTAGTTACACGGACAATGTCGAGAAAATAAATTATAAAAAAGGATTGAACTTATTCTACAAACACAGAGAAGAAAAGGCGGGAAAAAGAGATCCTCTTCCGAATCGATAAAGAAGTTTCCGCCAAAGTTCAGGTGATAAGTCGATCAGTCAATAAGTCGTCACTGCGGAGTCGATAAGGTAGTTACCATTTACCAGGTGTCGGTCACACACCTTTAGTACGTGGCGTCATCTAGCAGCAAGAGTAGAAACTATTTTCGCTACAATCAGTGGAGACACTGGTGGCTCCATTGATACTAAAAAGAGCAGTAGCACTCGAAAATATTAATTTGTTATCGCTGTTGAAATTATTACGGACGTGTCGCTCGCCTCGCTAAATTTCTCAGAAGTACAAAGTCTCCAAACAGAAAATCGATGAGCTCGCTTAGCTACAGCTCACGAAAAGTATATATATAAATAAATACGGTAACGATCTAATAAACAACAGAATTATTCTGGCGTTATTTTCAACGGGAAAAATGAAATTGTATCGCGATTGAGAAAATAATTCGATTAACTGCATTACACGACGTTAATAATGTCGTTCAGAAAACGAACGAATAATTGCAATCCACTTTAACCACCCCCCCCTCCCCACACCCCCTATTCCTCCTCCTCTCTCCTCCCGCCGTCCACAGTTGACAACGTTATAGCGGGTGGGAATGTAAATTGCCACGTTAATATACTTTCTGCCGAATTATACCAGAAATATTACTATATATCGTATTGCATGAATATTTTATTTAATGAATTCTTATTTAATGTATGTTTACGTTTGTTATTTTTATTATTAATTTCTGACGATGAAAGAATAATTTCCACGGGAAGTAAACATTCGAGCGGAGGTGAAAGATTGAAGTCGAAACGAATCTAGAAATTTCTCGATCCGACTTTTAATTCGCGAGTTACAGAAGTTTGAATGCGGAACCAATCGGGGAGCTTTCGGTTATCAGGGAGCCGCGGTATTGGCTGACGTTCGACGATTCGTAGCTAGCGAAGGAGGGCTCGGATGTAAAAGTGGTACGGGACTTTTCGCCTTGCTTTTTGCTTCTCTGTCTCTGTCTAGTGTTTTTGAAAATTTGATGAAATTTTGGAAAAAAAAAAATAAATAAAAAGAATAAAAAAAAAAATAGCGAAGTAAACCATGTAACATCGTGAGGTTAATAATTGTTGGTTATGTATCGATTTTCGATGAGGTCCTGATCGTCACCGTCTTTGATGTGCGCTAGGAATGATTATTTTTTGAAAAAGAAGAAAATGACGAAGAAGATGGGTGGAAGGGATAGGAAGAAAAATAGCGTTTCCGTGGGTGGAAATATTAAATTGTATCCCTATGGGTGTTCGAGGCGACGGGATGGAATCGCGGCGGGGGTCGGGAGGGGTACGAGATCGCTAACCAATATTTAATCAACTTTCCAGGAGAATATTATTCTCCGGACAAATCAAGGACATATGTATCAGACCGCTAAGGGGGGTTGACGTTCACTGTATTGATATAAAAGACGAAGCTCCGTTTACACGAGCGCGCGCGTGTCCGTGTTTACCATCATTCCCATTGGCGTACCCATCGAACTCCTTCGCAACTCATTGCTTTCTTACTTTTTCTTCGTTTCAACATTCTCCGTTAACATTTATACTTGTTTAACTCGATCGCGTGTACTTTATTCAATTAATTTCCGAGTATCACGTATTATTTAAAATTGTATTTATTCATTTTATTTTCAATTTCTTTTAACATTTTATGTTAACATCTTCTTTGATATTTTGGAGGGTTGTAGGCACTTTATTTAATTAATTGTTAATTTATCAGACTAGTTAAATATATAATTATATTAAAAAATAAAATTCGAAACCTCTTGGTATTTAATGTTGCTAGTGGCTCCATCTAGGTACCTAACAACTTCCAATATGCGAAATGAAACATCGATATCAATGGAAACAGGTTTAATACATTCAAATGAAATGAATTTCGAATACAGAAAGCTTTCTTAATAATTCTTAGAGACACTCGCAGTTTTTACATTGTACTTTCTTAGTGAATGTTTATTATCTGCTCGCGAGTAATTTAATTTGTAATCACGTGGAAATGATGGTCGAGGCTACGCCACTGGCGAAGCCCCCGTTTCCATGTGTTCTGAGCATACACACCAGAAACGGTTCTGTGTTGCGTGGCACGGCACCGCGCACTGGAAGGGAATTCCCCTGGGTGGAGACAGGAGGGTCGAGGACCAGGACTGCTCTCATCGTTGGCCCTTTCGTGAGAACAAGTGCGAAACAAGTGTCGCACAGGTTCCCTACCACCTATCCAACGCGAGCAACGTGTCGTGTTTAGTCACGTAATTTCTCTTTCCCAAGATAAATCATACTTCGCGCTCTATATTCGCTTTATCCTTCATGCCTGGGCCCTATTAAATATTTATCCAGCTCTCTGTTAAACACAGCCGTATTAATTCCTACGAAGGTAAGGGTAATCTATGCTTCCCAATATATATTTATTTATTAATGAGAGAAGCCTTTGGCACATGTGTGTAACTGGAAATTAAAGAATTGGAGTGATCAGGTGATTTCTTTTTTTATTTCAGCTTTTGGTAAAGAAGTTATATCAAATTATTCAGTTATTTATTTATAGTAGGTGGCCTTTGGCACATGAGTGTAACTAGAAGTTACAAAAATTGGAATAATTGGGTGATTTTGAGGTTATGAAGACTACACCGAAAGGGAATTTTATTTCAGCTGTTGGAAAAGAAATTATATTCAATTATTTATTTATAGTAGATGGCCTTTACTACATTAGTGTAACTAGAAGTTAAAAAATTGGAATAATTGGGTGATTTTGAGGTTACTGAGCTATCTGCGCTGAAAGGGAATTTTATTTCAGCTTTTGGTAAAGAAATTATATCAAATTATTCAGTTATTTATTTATAGTAGGTGGTCTTTAGTATATGAGTGTAACTAGAAGTTACAAAAATTGGAATAATTGGGTGATTTTGAGGTTATGAAGACTACACCGAAAGGGAATTTTATTTCAGCTGTTGGAAAAGAAATTATATTCAATTATTTATTTATAGTAGATGGCCTTTACTACATGAGTGTAACTAGAAGTTAAAAAATTAGATTAATTGGGTGATTTTGAGGTTATGAAGACTACACCGAAAGGGAATTTTATTTCAGCTGTTGGAAAAGAAATTATATTCAATTATTTAGTTATAGTAGATGGCCTTTACTACATGAGTGTAACTAGAAGTTAAAAAATTGGATTAATTGGGTGATTTTGAGGTTATGAAGACTGCACTGAAAGGGAATTCTATTTCAGCTTTTGGAAAAGAAGTTATATCGAATTATTCAGTTATTTATTTATAGTAGGTGGCCTTTAGTATATGAGTGTAACTAGAAGTTAAAAAATTGGATTAATTGGGTGATTTTGAGGTTATGAAGACTGCACTGAAAGGGAATTTTATTTCAGCTGTTGGGAAATAAATTAGATCAGATTATTTATTTATAGTATACTTTATAGTATATATTTATATTTATAGCCTTTGAGTGTTATTAGAAGTTCAAAAATGAGAGAAATTGTTGATTTTATGATTGTTAAACCTGCTTTTGGGAGAATTTTATTTTGTTTTTTGGAAAGGAAGTTTTTCATAATTTATATTATAAAAATTTTTGAATCGTTTAGAAAGTCGACATTGGTATTCGTCCAATTTGAATAATAAAGGAATGTAACGTGGATATTATCGTTGATTATTCTATATACTTTTGTATTTGTTCGAAATGTTTCATAGATTTTTCCATTATTTCATTATTTGCAAATTTGTATTTTCATAGATACAGATAAACTACATAACGTGTATAATATCGTTAATATTTCTGTTGGATGAATATATATAAATAAACCTTAGATTTATAGAACATAGAAATTGCGATTACATAGATGTGTATTTTTAACTCATTTTTTAGACAAAAAATTGAAGCCTTCCCTTTTACGATGGCTGTGACGTGCAGTGACCAAACAGCGAAGTAAGTGACCATAGAATATATCATACTATAGAATATATCATTATGCGAAAAAAGGTGATCGTAGAGAGGCGAGATTAAGGCAAAACTTACCGAATAATTCACGCCCGCCCTCTGTCTCTATATTCTTGACGTTGCATATAAGTGATTCTAACCACGTTTCCAACAATCTCATATACTCTTACATTTACAACCATTTTCACAGATTCCCCAACATTTACGTCACGCGAATTTAGACTCAGAGTAACAATTTGCCTTGCATAAGAATGCGACTCGATAAATAAACCATCTAACGTCGCTATTAACATTTCCTACACTCTTGCATCTATTTTCATTTCCCATCAAACCCCCCCTTAATTCCCTCCCTCGATACACATTCATTGCTCACCTTGCCGAATCACCAACTAAATTCCACCCCATTATTAAACATCTTAATTCAGGCCCTCGATAATATTCAATCTATCAACCTTACCTGCGGAATGAAAAATTCTATCTCCTCGCCGACATAAACGGCAGCGCGAGTAGCCCCGGCTACAATTGCACCAAGACACCCTCGGCCGGGTGTAAACACACCTAGGGGTTACTCGTGGCTGCTCGAGCGTTGTCCAGCCGAAGCCTACCCCGGAATCGATCGTAAAATCGAGACTAGTAGAGGGGTTGGCATCATCGAATGAACGCTATCATTCGAGCTGATGGCTGTGTTGGGGGTGGCGCGGCGTCGAGGGTGAACGGTGCGAGCGCGCGGCGGTGGGCGTGGTCGCGAAACCTCCGCCGCCGGGGTGGCCGTCTCCGTCGACCAATGACGAGCCGCGGAGGGGAGCGGCCGGCGCCGAACCCGTTTCAACGCTCAGGTGCCCCTGGCCACGCCCACGGGGCGCTCCCTCCCTCTCGCCCGTTATTGAATTAAGCTTATC